AAGTATAAATAGTTGCATACAGTATTCGGTAGGCAGTAGTCAATTGTACAGTGGACTAAATGGGAAGAAAACAGAATACTTACCAGGGCATGTAGGTTGAAGACCCGAGGACAGCCTGCAAACGCAGAGATGTATTATGTAAGTATCTTCAACCCGGAGAAGCTGAACAAAGATTATTTGGGTTTTTTTTTTTTTTTTTTGCTTACGATGTGGTAATGCTTCCGTTAACGAAGCCAGCATAGTTGCAAGACGAGACACCGCAGCCACCGCTGGTGGGCTGGGTAGTCACATTACCAAGCATTAGACTGCTATTGGAGCACTGCATACTTGAACATGACGTTCCTAATGAAGCTGGAGTGCAGTACAGACTGCGCGGGAAGAAAAAATGGAGATTATAGTCTGAAACTCACTTCAGTAATCAGTAATACAACTGCATTGAACAAAAGACAAGGTAACTTTACTTGAGATCCCCTGGCCCACAGCTGCATTCTACACAGTTACCAGCAGTTAGTGCATAGGTCCCGTTTGCCACAAGCAATCCATAGTCCGAAGCAAAGTTAGGAAATGTAGACGCACATGCTAATCAGAGAAACAAACAGCAGGCATCATTAGAAAAATAAACAGGGAGGCACCAAAGCAGGCAAGCAGATCCAACTCAACTATCACTACTGAAAGTTAACCATCATAAAAAAAAGGGCAGCCCAGTGCACATAGCTCCCGCTTGCACGGGGCCCGGGAAAGGGTCCAACCACTTTGGGTCTACCCCTTCATAGTTAACCATCAGCAAAAAGAGGAAAATCAATGGAAGTAAAAGAACCCTTACACAATAAAAGTAAAGATCCATCAATTAATATTTATAAGTATGTGTCATCTTATTCCTGTGTTTTTCCTATTAATACTTTCTCTAATTCCTATTATCCAAAGGAACTGTTTAGCTAGCATACTGATTGATATGTGCACTCAACATGAGAGCTCATAACAATCATGATATCCACATCACCTATGTGGCCACATGTACCTCACCAAGCACAGAAGAGTTAATCTTTTACAACCTAGCAGGCTACAAGCATGCTTTGTCCTAATCCTGGACCACCGATATGAAACAGATTAAAATGTATTTATGCATCCAACATTCATCAAAACCAAACGTTGGCGTTCATCAATGGCCGCTGCCTGTTGGGCCGTGTGGAAATGTTGGAGCAATATGGCAATTCAGTACAAGCTTCAGACTCAGCCTAATGAAGTAGTACTCAGACTCGGACTTGTCCATATTTTGCTGCACTAAGAATGCTGTGGCAGATCATTCAAAGTAATTGTCAAAAGCCAAAATTCTGAATCTGAATAACCGGATCACTATCATCCAACCGCCAACTGTGCAAATGACTGTCGTTTTAGTATCTGTTCCAAAAATACTTTGGTGTTTAATTGTTCACGGTAGTTCCATTTCTCGATCTATCCTTTTGGGTCTGGGCTGGAAACTGGTAATAATCATATAAGAGCGTTTAGATCACTAAAACGCTCTTATAAAAGTTTACAGAGGGAGTATGTTGTATGCAAACAATCTTTAGCTTTCAATATAAAGCCAGGCCCCGTGCCTTTTGTCTAAAAAAGCTTAACATTTCTAACATGGCCTAAAGTATCACCAATCTGCCGCTTTACAGCCTTCACAATGGTCTTTTTGTATCTGTTGCAAGTATAAAACGGAGAAGCAAAAAAGTATTCACGGCTATTGGTGAAATTACATCCGCAGATAACTTCACAGCACAATTGGTGGGAAAATGATGTGGAATGTGTCGAGGCAGTCGGGTTCAGTGGCAGCGTTAATCGATCCTACTATTGGGAAAATATTTTACCTGATAATGGAACTGCAAGGATGTCGCCGGGTGCCACGACGGGGCTCCCCATGGCATTCACATTGCTGAGATCCGTGACAGTGGTGGCGTGGGTGGCGGCGATGGATTGCACGGTGTCCCCGACCCGCACGACATAGGAGAGGTAGACGGCGGGGAGGTTGTTGTCGGTGGAGTTGAGGCAGACGCAGGGGAAGGGGACGACGAGAATCTGGCCGGCGTCGAGCAGCGCGTCTGGGTCGGCCTCGGCGAGCCCGTTGGCGCTGCGGATCTGGTCGGCGGAGGCGAGGCCCGCGAAGACGACGTCGGCGACGGTGGCGAGCGTGTCGGCGGGGCGCGCGGTGTAGCGGACGGAGACGGACTTGCGGACGCCGTCGGCGCAGGCGCAGCGGGTGGGGACGCGGAGGAGGAGCCCCGCGGGGAGGATCCGGTTGGCGGCGCCGGGGGAGGCGAAGTCGAGCGCGTTGGCCGCCAGCAGCGCCGCCGGGTCCGCGCCGAAGAGCGCCGCCACCTCGGAGACCTTCATGTCGGCGTAGAGCGAGTAGCCGAGCAGCGCCGCGCACGAGTCGGCGCTGGAGCAGGGCTCGATCGTGGTCTTCGCCGCCGCGCCGCCCGCCGCCGCGAGGATCACCAGCAGCGCCGCTGCGGCCGCGGCCGCCGGCCTCGACATTGGGGCCCGGCGAGGGGCTTAGGGTTGGGGCCTCGGGGGGATGGGGGGAGTGGGGAGCTGAGCTCGAGCTCTCTCTCGGCTTTTGGCTGCACAGTGTGCGAATCGAAATTTTTGGGCAGGAGCCGAGACTGCCGACTAGGCGAGAAGGGTGTGGAGGCCTCGGATGCCACGCAGGTGACCGGTTGGCCAGTTGTCTATGACATGTGGGTGCCATGTCGGCGGACCCCAACCGTCGGTGGGAGGGACGTTGTTTTCTGGCAGAAATACTGTTTGTGCTTGGAATCTGTGTCTTGTGCGGGGAGGAGGCGACCGATATCTCGTGACCAACTCTATTATGTCGGGTAAATTGATTTTTTTTTCTCGAAATTTTGAAGTACTTTGATGATTTGCCTTGTTTCCATTGCAATTTATCATCTGCCACAAAGATGGTTACATTCCTTTTTCTTTTTTTTTTGCGGGGAGATGGTTACATTCCTCGTGGTGGAATCAACTCAGGTTTAGCAGGAGGGGACGTTATGTTGACTACAAAAGCGTCTGTGACGACTTCATCAATCTCAAGATGTTGTACCGCCACAAGGTGCTAATCCAGCTGCCCGACCTCTCTCTGCCAAACAATCCTCACCAATTGTTGTGTTGCCCGGCTACCCCTCTCCCCATGCATGTTGCTTCTTCATCGGGATACCCGGATTTTTTGTTTCATTTCTTTACTAGTTTTTGGTTTTCTTTTCCGATTTTTCTTTTTCCTGTTTATCACTTTTTAAATTTTGTTTCTGTTATTGAAAAAATGGGGAAAAAAATTAAAAGCTGTTCATAATTACAAAAAATTAAAAACAATACGTTTTCAATTTTTTGGGGATTTGAAAATCTGTCTGTATTTTCAAAAATTGTTCACAGATTTAAAAAATCATGCTCTCAAAAATGGTTCATCTTTAAATAGTTGATATTTCCAATTTTGTTGTCGTTTTCTGTTTTTTCAAAACACAAACAAAAATTTAAATTATCAAAAAAATCTGAAATTTCAATTTTTGTGAAAAAAACAAACAATGAAAATGTATTTTTTTTCCTTTTTATAAAAATAGTCAATTTCTAACATTTTTATAACAATGCAAATAGTTTTTGAAACTTAAAAACATGTTTTTTGAATATTTGAACATTTTCCGAAGACACAACATTTTTCCAAATTACGGAATTTTTCTTGAACTGCAAACACTTTTCAAATTTGCAAAATAAAACTGAAAAAAGTAAATAAAGTATTTTTTGAATTTTTTTAAATTTTGAAATTCTGGACATTTTTCTATAAAACACTAACAATTTGTTCATTCTGATTTTAATTTTGAAAATCAGTCATATTTAAAAAGATAATGAACATTTCTAAATTTGTGATTTTTTGAAAAAAAATACAGAAAATAAAAAATGAAAAATGAAAAGAAAAGAAAATAATAAAGAATGCGGTTTGGGGGAATGTGCCGGCCCAGTTTACACTACCCTGTGTGTTTTGGCTACTATTTGCCGTAGTGAGCGGCTAATAGGATTTTCCTCAGTCCCTACCCTACAACTTTTACACTAGAGAATTCGACTACCATAGAAAGCAAGAAGGAAATTCATGTTACTTCACTGTAAAAATCATGTTACTTTTTTTTAGCACAAATCATGTTACTTCTTTATACGAGAAACTAGCGAGAGCATTGTTTATTGTATAGACCGAAAATAAAAGAAAAACATCTACAAGTGTAATTTCTATCTCACATTGAAACTTTGTGAAACAGTGGTACAACATTAGTTATGTTATTTGCAAACAGAAAGAGTCCACATTTTGTCTCACAAGGACCTGCCATGTTTTATGGTGTGTAGACGAATTACATGATCTCCTAGAGAGGTTGAAAATTTCCTCGTATCGGTTGCACATGAACAGCACCCTCGTGGAGTTGTGGTCTCAAATGTCTACTGCTCCCTTCGTCCCATAATATAAGATTGTAGTGTTAAAAACGCTCTTATATTATGGGACGGAGGGAGTACATGTTAGAATCATCCGCCATTCATACGATCATTGCTCATTAAGTTCTATGTGTGTCGATGCCAGCCCAATCAGTCGCATGCCATGCCAAAAGCCTCTGATCAATTTAGATGCATTCATGTAAAGAAGAGCCAAGCTCTCTGCCTAGCAATGCTGCTCGAGTACAGAGCTTCAGTACCCGAAAACAATGTTGAATTCATCGCAAGAGTAACCGAAGAAAAAGAAAACCTCTTGCAATCCTACCCACAACTTTCTGGTTCTTAGGATCTGCAGGGACCTGAGCAGGGAAAAAATAGAGCTCTCAAGTTCTTCTTCAATCTTCTTTTTTTGCAGAGGTCTCGTCACTATCTCATGGATTCATTCTACGGGTTCCAAAAATTATTCACTGCTGATTCGGTCCAGTGACCGCCGGAGGGATGTACTAGAATCAGGGAGGACGGCGGGGCGAGCGATCACTCGCCCTTGGTTAACAATGTGAGTTGGTCAGGTGCTTCAAGCTCGAGACGTCGAACAGCTCCATGAATCTCAGGTCGGTGCTCCTCACTTTTGCAGCAGCGAAGCGCTGGTACTCATCGAAGACCGAAGACAGGCACCATTTCTGCAACTTCCTCATGCAACCGACGACGCATCCAGTTCGGTGCTGCAGATACAAACGAAAGTATTGCACGGTGAGTAAGTAGAAAGTTATAGACTTGAAGATACCAGCTGCAAAGCGTAAAATAAAAACTGATCAAGCTTACCTTGCCTCTCTTGCAGTGAATAAGCAAAGGTTGATTTCTTACATCTGGAAGAAAGAAAACGAAAGGAGCAAGACTGTAAGAGAGATGAAATGCTGTGATGGAGGTGGCCGAGATGGGAAGGATCAATGGAAGATGAAGTACCTAGGACAACTTTAAGTGCCTCCCGGATTTTCTCATCGGGTATCTCGACGAATGGTTCCTGCAGTAACAGAGTTTCAGGCATTGTCAGACCAAGCATCAGATTCTGGACATAAATGGTGGAATTATCAAGACTTTAGAATTAATTACACACACAATGAGCAGTTGTAACATGAAATGTGGTGCATAGAGTTACATATAAATCAATAGCATTGATAATATTGTACACTAAATGTACCAAGGTCCAGTAAAGGCTGAACCAGACAAAGAAAAATAGATGACCAATTCCTTGAAATCTTTCTGCTGGTTAGCTAGTGCCCTAGTTTCTTTATTTCAGTGGTTTCAACAAATTGGATCTTATTATATTGGAGAAAAACCCCAACTCGCCGTGTCTGTCTATCCAGTGACATGATTTTCTTCATAAAAAGAAGTAGGGTTCAGTATAAGGTCAACCGTCCATCATGTACTATTTTTCAAGGTAGGACTACAAACCACATTTGGATGTCCCTGCTAACTAGTAATTATAATTGCAAAACAAATTCAGACAATGACAATGCTAATCTAAGAAACTATGACACACAGACCAATAGGAAGGAACAAACCAGCTTTACAGCAACAGAACAACCGGTTCGTATAAATGACAAATCTACTCAATTATGCATTAGGTCATGGATGACCTGGAAGTTCAGAGATAAAAAAAGAAATAACTGGGGTAGTTTCTTGTCATTCATAGCATCAATCAAAGCAACAAAATAATTTTTGACACTATAAATATGATTTGTCTTGACCGCTACACCAGTTCCCAAATAATTAAAACGGACTAGTCAAAAAAAGTACTGGATTCAGAATATCTAAAGCAACATTATAATAAAGAAAACTGTAGTCACCCCTTGAAAATAATCTGGAAGCTTTGCCCACAACTATATCACAATTCTCACCTAAACCTCCAAAAGTAAAAGGGTAAAATTCTAGAAAATATTTTTCAGCTACAATATGTGTACCTTCAAAAATTACTGTACAATTTAAGTTTCAAAGAAGTATGGAACTTCGCATACCAACAATTTACTGCAACTTTTGTTCATAAGTGGCATGAAATTCTTTTGAATGAAGGTAAAATTACATGTAAAACACCATGACGTTTGCTATTCAGGAAAACCAGCAAGAACACATGGCGAAGCAGCACCACATATGCCAACATCAGATGCAAAGCATCAGCGAGGTACATGGTCACATGAAAACAGGGAACAGTACAACAAAAAAATTGAAAAAGGTTTCATCCAAAATATGATTTCACATGCTCAGATCTATCATTGATAGATCCCTGGCACAGACTATATGTGGCGATCTAATCAATCATCCAGCCGAAAAATTATATAGGACTGAAACCTAGCATGATAAATCAGCAATCATTTTGCCAGCGGGAAGAATCCAATGTACTGTCCTCCATGCTCAGTTCCATCTACTCGGTGAACAGGGCAATTTACGGATCTCGAAAAACTGTGGCAGATCTAGGCCTCCAGTGTTATGTTATCCCCTCTCATCAAGAACAGAACAACACTGGACATGCCCCCGCTATCATTGTGTGCCATACTGACATGCCCTCAATTATTTCTTTTTCTTTCTTACTTGTGAAAAAATATATTTTTTCTGAGGCACCATCTGCATAGTGAAAAACTACAACTTGTTCTTTTATCCTCTTCAGTGCGTGAGCTTTTTATACATTTCGTCCAACTTGACCCAGGCAGCTAGATCAGTCCAATATCAACTTAACGCATGGACCATTGTGGATTAGGTTGCCAAACAGAGCACATAACAACTAGTGGTGCTCATGCATCAACCAACAATTTTAATTCATAAAACTGGGCATAGCCTGTTGGGACCATTAAAGCTGCTTAATAAAACGACCTAAAGAGCATATGGGGTGTATAGGAGTTACAGGTCCCATGAGCTGCTCACACTGAAGCCTATACAAGAAAATTCCTGTACCGAATAAATTGTGTCCTTCTTGCAAAAAAAAATCAGAAAAAAAAAACAAATAGTCCATGAGCTACCTACTTTGCAGAAACAGCGAAAATATCACTCAAACAAGAAAAAGAAAAGAAAAACTAAGAAAATAAATGAAAGGGGATAATGGAGATGCTTTGTGAACTATGCACACTCACTACCAGACTTGTTATCACAGGAGCAAACCAATTAGAAACCATTGGGAATATTGGGAAAATTGTTGTTTAAAATCAGCAGCGCAGCTGGGTCGATTAATCAAACCAATGCTGAAAGGGACCACCGCCGATGTGGCGTAAAACTTGAAAAATCCCCAGGCTAGTGGTAGGAGAAAAGAGATAGATGCGCCTATTAGGCAAGTCAGATGATAACAAATAAAATCCAGCCAGTGATGCATTGGATTCTCCCCCGAGCCACCTAGGCGAGTACGTACTAATCTAGGACGCGTAATAGCGACATGATCAACGACCTCGGTTCTTGGCAAGCAATTCTCGTATCTACCGGAAAGTATTCATGATTATCTATCTACAAGCTGCGATTCTGCCTTCCCCAAGAATTGCCATCAAGAGAAACACGTAGAAGAGAATTTCATAAACGCAAGCCAGATTGTTCGTGTTTGGTTACCTTGCGGCCCTCAATTCCGAACTGGTGGAGCTTGATTCCGTTCTTCTCGAGGAACTCCGTGTTGGTCTCCGGGTACGGCTCCGGGCAGAGGTACCTGAGCGATGAGCCGACGGACGTCAGAACCACGTGACAGGACACGAGCAGCGCAATAATTGCAGGCGCGCGGAGCAGAGAGAGGCGGGGAGATCCTCACACAACGGAGCGGAGGTTGAGGGACTTGAGGAAGCGGAAGTTGGCGGCGGCCGGGAAGCCGGAGCGGTAGATGCCGTCGTCGACCATGGCGAAGTTGAGCGGCGGCACGAGCGTGGCCTCGTCGTAGCCCCCCGCCCCCGGCGCCGCCAGCAGCGGCGGCAGCGGCGGGGGCATGGGGAAGATCTTGGGGGGCTTCTCGTGCTTCCACAGCTCGAGGCCGCTCATCTCCATGGCCTCCTCCCGCTGCCCCGCCTCCAGGGCCCTCTGCCTGGGCATGATTTCCAGCTTCATGATGGCTTCCGGTTTCGCACGGGGCAAGGGCAGAACCGTCAATTTGCAACGAGATGGGTGTGCTTTGTGTGCGTGATGGTTTGAGCGGTGTGGGTGTGATGGCCTAACTGGAAGGAAGAGGTTATTTATAGCACAAGATGAAGGAAGGAAGAGAGGGAAACTCCAAAAGGTTGCAAGAGGGGGGAAAGGTGGGTAATTGGAGGAAGGGAACTCCAAGAAAAAAGTGTGATGATGATTGATGAGGAAAGGTGAAATTTTAGGATAAGGAGGTGATTTAATGTGTGTTATGACATCTAGAGTGTCTACCACAATTGGCTCCATTATTCATGTGTGATGTAGTTTAATTCTATAATAAAATTATATCCTGATGATTTAATCATGAGAAAGACTGTGTTGGTTCAACAGACTATACCAAAGGTTTTTAAAAAAGGATGTGTCTACTCTCATCTAGAAGTGAAATAATTATGTCTCATCTAACTACTACACCATATAATTTTACGTTGGGATTCGCCAGGATTTTTGTTTGGTTAAGCAAATATTGTAGGAGTTAGATGAGACTCTGTTATTTCTCTGTTTAAAAAATACATTATGCTGACCCGGGAAAATTGTCCGAGCACCCACAGAAATGTTGAAATCGTCTTACCGAGGCTACACTATAAGTGTAAATTTGTTTGTCCTTCGCAGTATGGGCGGAACTCTCATCCTATCCCTTTGATGATCAATAGCAGGGACCATGATAGCCCGATCATTGATGTCAAACGTATCTTATTGCCACTCCAGCTGCGTGTACTACGAGCTTGTCAAGATGTCAACAGTTTTCAATGCACATCATTGTCCATCTCTAGCGAAATGTACGTAAGATCCACTTACATGCTGAGTCATGCTAGAGATGTGATTAGAAACTGTATAACAAGAAAGAGATGTATGACTTGTCATCATTATTACTATTCTTACTTTGGTTCGTGTATCGCAATTTTTGTTCCATTTTCCATGATGAAGCCAACATAACATACATATTATACTCCTTCAACACTAACGATAAAACCATGTGTTATGTACTGGTGCATCATTATACATTAGCTTGGGCATTGTGCTTTCCTGACAACAAATTACAGGCATATTCGCTCAAAACTTGTCATATTTCTTATTTAAATCTTGTGCGGGCTATCACAGATAGTGCGATGAAGTGTCGGTGAAATGGTGGACGATGTTGTGCACGGGAAACGACAAAAATGTCAGAAGGCGTGAAGATAAGGTGTTGCGGTAATCTATCCATGTCTAATGCGTTGATGTAACCTATAGCATGATGGAGACGTATTTCGTTCTACAGCTTTGCCAATATCAGTTGCTAGAATTTGTTATCAATCTTATTCACCTAATTTGCACATCATTAATTAATCCTAAATTGCTGTAGAAAAATAAGGGTGCAAGTGGTTAGGAAAATTTTCGACCCAACCCGTTTCTGAACCTGGTTTTATAGGATATGTTAAGAGATTTTTGACATCCAAATATTATCGAATATGATTTAGACGGATAATGCTCATACCACATCATATTCCATAGACAAGCTCGGGATAATCATATGTTTGAACAAAAAAATTAGAAGAATTGCCAAGGGTACGCAACTGAAAGGATTGTCCTACTACACATAGACTATCTTCCATTCTACCCCTTTTGCTAATATCAGTTGCTAGAATGCACATCAGTAGCTTATCCTAAATTGCAGTAGAAAAAATAAGTGTGGAAGTGGTTATGATAAAATTTAAACCATTTTGGAATTTGGTCTTATAGGATATGGTAAGACATTTTGACATTTGAATAATCTGATCTGATTCGGACGGATAATGCCATATCCTATTCCATAGGCAAGCTTGGGATACTCAGATATTTGATCTAAATATTTAGACTGGTCATAGTGGGGAGTAACTTAGACTAGTAACATGCATATGTTACTAGTCTATATTACTACCTCTATAGTGCATAGTATCATAG